TAATATGTTATATGTGTTTAATTTGTAGAATTCTTGAAAAGGTCAGTGCATCGTGATCACATTCTTTAAACCTTCACATATCAAACTTCAGTATCAGTCGCACTTTTTAAATGAAACTTCTTCTCTCCCTCATGATGCTTGTCTTTACTTACCATGGAAAACAGGAGTGGCTGAGTTGCCTTCCATCTGGATGCAGAGCGACAGAACAGGATGCAGGTGGATCGATGATTCCTCTGTCTCATCTCCGACTGAGGAGCCGACGACCTGGACCGTCTGGCCTTGATTGGTCTGAAATGAAAAGGGCAAATGATGCAGAGGACTGAGCAGAGACAGGAATTTTAATTGTATTGATGCTGCACAGGAGAAGGTTGTTGTGGGTGGGAGACATTATCAAACACGTTTCATCTTGTGACAGGTGATTGAGTTCTTTACCGGAAAACTGAGACGCTGGAGGCTGAATAGAAATTGGGACCCCGTGCTGAGCCAGAGAGCTGGTGATAAAACCAGCTATAATTTCCTCTGTGAGTTAACTTGATTAGTTTCAAACTGCCTCCGGGAACAAAACTGAGGTTCAACAAGTTCCCCGTGGCCTCGTTTGACCTCGTCACTGCAGGATCACATCACAACAGAGTCACTGATGGTTAAAGGTCTGATTCACTCCAGTGTCTGACGTGTTTTCACTCAGGGTTTGGTTTAATATTCACTGGTGTTTAGTCATAGTGTGTCCTGTGTTTAGATGGGTTTGAACCGGTTTGATCCAAAGTGGAATGATCCCTAATCTGCGTTAGTCTCATTGGCACAATATTGAATTGTGTTTTGAGCCTGATTTGATTCCAATGTTTAGAGGCGTTCTACCTGTTTTAAATTAATGTGGTGTTTTAGTTCTGGTTTGGTCCAGTGGGTTCTGGTGTTTTAAGGCAGGTTTGTTTAAATGTTCACTGGTGTGTTGAGCCTGATTTGTGTTTCCAGTGTTTAGTGAAGCTTCTTTAACTCTTGTTTTATGAGGAACGTGTCAGAACAGACTCATCGGGTCTCTGGACATGTCTCGTGTCTGATCTTCATGGTGTGAGCAGAAAAACACATGACTCACGTTGACACTTCACAGATCACGCAGGACGTGGACCTCGGGGGAAATCCAGGCTGACCCAGGTAAGTCAGGAGTTGATGTGAAACAGCTGAGGAGGCAGAGAAACAGAAAAACGTTTATCTTCCACAACATAACTCAAACCAGAGTCTGTTGTTGTTGGAGCGGCTCAGAAAGCGGAGCCTTCTACAGTTACCACATTCTCAGTGGTGGGAAGTAACGAAGTACTTTTACTCAGATACTGCACTGAAGTACTTTACTTGAGGATTTCCATTCAATACTTTGACATATTGTACTTTCCATACTTTTATCTGAGAGATGTGGTCACATGTTAGGATTTTACACAAAACACACTGTTTAAAGATGAATTGAATCATCGACACTATTTAAAACATAATAAACTAAAGTTTCTGCTCAAAATCATAAACAATAAATTATGTTGTAATCTTTAAAATTTCAATCATTTTAAAACATTTATATCACACACACGGACGCATGTAATAACAACACACGTTGTTTTCTGCATAACTTGATATTTTAAGTATTTATCTTTGAATATTTCTGAACTTAAAAATTGTTTCAGAGTGAAACAAGTGAAAATAATCACTGCATGTAATAAAATAAGATTTTAAAGTAGCAGCATTGTGAGGTTTTAATACTCAAGACAAAATAAATCTCTTTAACAATAAGTACGTTGTAATTAAAACATGTTCTTACCTCTTGGCTCGGGACCCGTGTATCACCTGGAGTCTCCCTCACCTGTAGAGGAAATAAATAATAATAATAACTGTATTTGTATAGCACTTATCTATACAAAGTTACAAAGTGCTTCACAAGAAAAATAATAAAGAAGAATAAATTATAACAAGGTTTTCAATTCAGTTCAATGTTTTGGTTTGGAAGTTTAACCATCGCTGAGCTCTGTAAGACTGGTTGTTGTCATGAAAATAATATCTTCAATTGTACGTTGGTGTCATCGAGTGTTTCAACGTATTAATCACAATAACGTTGAGAGAGGCTAAAGGTAAATCTGACTGGCTACTGGCCTGTAGTGCTAAGAAAGCCATGTGGCCTGCTCAGTAGATCAGACGTCATTTACCTCTGTGCCTTTTTTAATCTATTTATTTATTTCAGCTAGATTTAACTCAATGCCTTCTCTCCTAGGTGGCAGAGTCAGAGGCTGTCATATTAAACCCAACAGCTCAGCACAAAGAGCGAGCCCTGAGGAGACCGCGGAGAGGAGAAACTCTTTAACTGGGAGAAACCTCTGTCAGAGGAGCTGCCTCCACCGGCTGGGGTGAGCGGAGCCAAATGATGGAGAGGAGGTGGGTGGCCATGAGGGAGTAGAATACAGGGAGTAGAATAGAGGGAGAGATGGGGTGGTGGGGTCAGGGTCAGGGGCCCTCAAGAACCTCACACTGAACTCTATAGGTCTCATTGTTGTAGTGGAAGTAATCACAGGTGGCATGTTGGAAAAGCTTTCCTGTCAACATGAGTTTTGAGAAGTGCAGATCGTTATTGAGTCTGAGAGTCGGATCTCCTCCCACAGGTAGTTCCAGGGCCTCGGGGCTCCGGACAGAGCCGCCGCAGCAGGGGACGGTCCAGGTCCAGAGGTCCGACCAGTGAGTTCAAAGTCCGGCTGCAAATGTTGTGTTTGTAATTCAGGGATCGAGCTGGTCCAGAAGTAGATTCCTGGTAGTTTCAAGTAGTTTGACGATTGAGTCGTAGTGTAGGCAGCCGGAAGTGATGCTGGTGGCGGCAACAGCTGGGACAGGGAGCGGCGCGAACTGTCTATAATTACGGTCCCGGGGGGGAAAGTTAAGTAACCCGATCTACTATAAAGATAGTACCTGAGAATACAGCGCGGTCTGAACGGGTTGTCACGGCGGGTGCGACAGACAGAGCCCGTGGAAAGAAGCGTCAACGCGGCGTGGACACCTGGACAGAGCCCGGCTGAGCTGTCAGAGACTGAGTGGAGCTAAAGAGTGTTCTTCGAAATATCACAGTTTAAAATCTGAATATTTAGTGAAACGAACTGAACTCAATCCTCTGGGCGTCGCAGAAAACCTCCATACATACAAGCAGAAAGAAAAAAAGACGCTTCAGAACTTCCCTGAGAAAAACGTCAATTTAAGGTTTTCCTTCGGTGTCACAATAGATCCAGGGACAGTTCTCTGTGTGTTCGCGAGTTCTCAGTAAACGGGATATTAACGGGTAATTCGGCGTCGTTCACACGGTGCCACGGCGCCAACTTCCGGAGAAACAATTGGTTAAAACACGAGCTCGATGGCGATGTGTAACTTAACGGCGGCCATTTTGAAACGTCACGGATTGAAGCGCACAGGTGGAAAATGTCGGAAGTAATTTAGCTGCTGGAGTTTGAAGCTTTAAATCTTTATATACATATTTCTATTTACATGGTTTGAACGTCTTTCTGTTTGACTCGTGTTCCACTGAGCGGAACCATCGTCACAGCTTTCAGTGAACAGGTTTAAATTAAAAACACGTGCAGCCATTTTTAATTAAACTGCACCGAGATCACGAAACAAAGATTTTCTTATCGCATCATTCATTAATAACCTCTCGACCAATCGGGACTCAACCATCAACTAATGAATATAAAACCAAACTTATCAGAAACACGAACACTTGTGTGATCGGAAGTAGCTAAAACGACAGAAACCACGTTTGAGGAATTTTAGGTAATTTAGATCCGAGCTATTGTGATTGAATGAAGGTTTATCCGCAGGGTTAAACCTTTGTTTTCCACGTCCACTCTGAAGGACGTTCACTTTACTGCAGAATCAATCTCATTGTCCACAGGGAAGCTTTTCATCAGAGAGCTGAAGGCAGGAAATCGGGAAGAGGAAGGGCATTGTTAACGACAGGAAGTGCAGATAAATGTGGCAGAAGCGAGGCCGGCGTCTCAAACAACCAAGCGACTTTCATCAGAAACTACCTCGGGTGGGGTCCCATCCTGTGCCAGGCATTTAAGTGGCCTCTATCTTTCCATGTATCACTCCATCAACCTTTCCTTTATTTGCATTTGAGTCTGTCGGGCCCAGACCATCTCCGCAAACCACCAGTGACCTCCTCACTCTTCCTCTTTTTTTTAAACAAACGACCTACGTTATTTCTTCTTCCTCCGATAGAACGTGAAACAGGAAGTTCCAGGTTCTGTTTATAAACTCAACACAATGTTTTTTCTCGTCTGATTTAGCAGATACTCTAATATTTACATTTCCACATGCCTGAATAATATGGATCGTCCAGCAAATAGGAAAAGTAATCACTGTCTTTAGATGGAAAATAATTCATAATTTGATTTACATGAAGATATTTGAGATGGTCATTGAAAAGTTTGCAGTAAGTTTTATGTTGAAGAAATAAATCATTTATGTAAGAGACTATTTTCTGATTGACGTCCAGATTTAACGTGTTTTGAGGCGTTTCGCGTGTCACAGCGAGTTTACATGTTCCCCTGAAGCGTGACTGGCAGGAGGATAATCAGAACCAGCGGCATGAGGGCAGGAAGTCGTCTCGTATCACGCTGAACAACATCACAAAGATTTTACATGAATTCTGCTCCGCGTGTGTTTGCAGGAGGTTTAGCTCTGGACTGAGAGAGCTGATAAGAAGCTGTCACTGGACACTCCGGTGCCTCTGTCGAGTTCCTTTCATTTCCACAAGTTTGATCTGAAAACATTCCAGGATATTAAAAGGTACCCGAGTGTTTCCATTAAAATGTTTTTCTTGCGTGGGCGGTGAGGCCTCAGATATAGAACGCGGCTTAACTTCGGACACAAAAACAAGTGTATTTGGCTTTACTTTTGCATGTGACACACTTTAAACACATGTTTAGTATGAGTGAATAGAGCCTGTCTCAACACGTACTTATTTCTCCCCAAGCAGTAGCCAAGGTCAGGTTATAGATAAAGGACCGAGCAGCTGTACATTGTGGTGTCTACGCTCAGGAAGAGGCGCCAACTCTTTTCTAAATCACATCAGCAACAAGATGTAAGAACATGATGTGATGAAGGAATCCATACTTTAGGTTGAACCGTCCAATAGGATGTCAACACCTCCATGTAACATAGAGAGTGACAGCAGGTCTGGCCTTTCATGGATGTGCTGTCGGAATGGGTGACGCAGGGCGAGGGAGATATAATCGGATCTTCAGACTTGGTTTGTTATATTCTGGTCTCCTCGATGAACTGAGTCTACATTCAACTCTTCTGCTCTTCAGCTGCTGCCTGAGGTCTCCTTCCACCAGCTTCCAGAAAACCTCCATCACAAGCCAGCGTCGCAAACAGGATCTCAAACACAGCAGAGACACGGTAAGTTTAATTTAAAAGTTATTCTTTGGTTTCTTCTTCTGGTGTCAGAGCTTCACAAGATCATGGAGAAAACATGGAACATTGAACAAGCAAAGGTGTGTGTGTGTGTGTGTGTGTGTGTGTGTGTGTGTGTG